CTGGTCTTCACTGTGGACACGCTACCAGGTGCTCCAAAGCCATGGCCTCTCCCTGGGTGGGTCCTGAGAACAAAGCTCTGGTTCTAACCCTAACCATGTCCCTAGACTTTGACTCTGACCCAAATCCTGATCCATACCCTGGTCCCTCATTCTGACCCTTTGACCCTCACTTTTATCTTGACCCTGACCATGACCCCACCTCTAACCATACTTCAGCCCTGACCCTGACCCAGACCCCAATTCTAACCCTAATATTATCACTACAGTCTATCTCTAATCTTACCCTCTAGTGCTAAACAGCTGTACCCAAAAGCACTTTTGGATTATTTAACTTCTTTTCCTTGAATTCTCTAAGGACATCCTAAAGGAGATGTCATTATATATTCTGCAGTCCCTCTGAGTGGTACGGCTTCAGATAAGAAGTTTTAATACTTTGCAAGACAGAAGAAGTGTAAAGGGCAGCAGCACTGGGTTGTCAGGAAAGCATGCTGGCATTCACGATAGTCATTGGTGCTGTTCTCCAGATATTTTCAGTTCATTTTTTTATGAACGCATTCTGACTGTTCCATCCCACCCTTTTTTTTTTTTTTTTTTGCCATTGGAGGTGAGAAGAAATAATATGTGACTTTTTCAGGAGAACTCTTCAAGAAACAGTTCTATCCAGCATGCTTTTGTCTTTTATATAGCAATGGGGATCTTATTGATGGTACCTCCTTCAGCCTCGATTCCTGTGTTAGGATGACACAGCACAGAGCTATCTTTCACCTGATACATGATGAGATGCAAATAAATGAGGAAGAAGATTTTTGGGCCACTGAAACTTGGAGGTTGTTTGTTCCCATGGTTTAACCTAGCCCCCACTGACTGATGCAGGGCTGAAGAATGAGTCAGAACTGGGTCTGGACATGTGAAGTGCACACCTCCAGGCTGAGTAAAATTCAAGTCTTGTTGCAAAGGTAACAGTGAGCACGATGTGTTATTAGGGTGAGTGTGGGATACATAAGGTATGTCAAGTGAGAATAATGAGAAACTCAACTTTAAGAGACAGTGCTACATTGGACTGTGGAGAGATTCCAATGTCCTACTTAGCATTTGAGACTGTGACGGCTGAACAAACTCACTAAGAACCCTAAATGAAGGCTTGGGATAAATATCTGAGGGTGTCTAATATCCCAATTTTTCATCCTAGAATGGGCAGAGTCCTTCACCCCATTCTAGGGAGACTTCCAAAGGAAAAAAGACCTGCATTTCTCCAGCAACCCACATTGAGAGACTTTCCTGCACTTTTGACCTGTGGCTAACACTCCTCACCTTTCATTCTGTCCTCAGTGTTTTGGGGGAACACCTTTAACTGTCTATGACTTACAGGTTATTAAGTGGCCCTTATAATTCCCTCCAGAGATAGAAAAGACTAATGATGAGGGAGTCTGAGCTCACAGCAGCAAGCGGGCATGTGTGCTCAGCAGCCACGTGGCTCATCTGCTAGATTACTACATACGATGTTCTGGAACATTGCTTAACACAACGGGACTCTCGCCCAACTCAGAAGGTTTAATTGCTCACCTACTTCTTTTTCTGCCCTCTTGGGCTCCTAAAATGAAAAGAACACTGGGATGATAAAGTGAGCCAAAGGGGTGCCAACCATATCACAGCAAAATAAAGATCCCTAAAAAATCCCTGGCCTTAGATGACAGCCTTGGCTGGGTAAGTCTGAATGTGCTGACAGAGGACATAGGAGCATGAGGGTGGTCAAAATGTTCACATTAAAGAACTTCCACACAGACTACAAGAAAAGAGGGAGGAATGGAGATGGCAGCACGAGTCCCTACAATAAAAGCAGATGTTTTGAGATCAGTTATATTCATTCCGACAACAATTAGAGACAGAAACCAAAGTTTAGCCTGAGGCGACAATTAACTGGATAATAAGCCAGAGGCACATGTGGTGTAGACAGATTTAAACATTTCTCCCTTATATTAATATAAATACTAAAATAATATCATATAAACACTTGGGTCTACAGTAGTATTTAAAGGAGATCTCACAAACAGGTTTGGCTTTTGAAGGTTAGAACTGATGGTCTAGATAATTCATTTTGTTTCAGAGAAAGAAAGAGAAGAATTTCTCAGGTCCCTTCAGGAATCTGTCTGGCTTTGCCTCATCTTGTATGTTTGAACTATGCATACGGCAGAAGAAGACAGAATTTCACAGATTTAAGGTGTGAAAAGTCACTGGATGCTTTAAGAAGCCTGGGATTCTTCTGCTGGAAAAATAAGTTCGTGGAGACAAAATGAGTTGGAGAAGGTTGTTGTTGAAGTGAAGCAGAATTGCTTTTACTAATCTGCTTATTACCCTCACCCTCACCCCACCCTACCCCCACCTTCATCTCTACCCTAAACCCAACCCCCAACCCTAACCCTAACCCCTTACCCTAACCCAATCCCAACCCCTAACCCTATCCCTACCCCAATCCCTAATCCTACCCTCTAGCCCTGACCCTTGACCCTTGACCTCAACCCCCAAACCTCGACATCAACCCTATCCTTAACCGCAACCCTACCCCTACCCCTAACCTCAACCCTTTACATCTGGCCAGATTCTCCAGCAGAAGCAGGGACCCTTGGCTCCCAGCTGTGCACCACTGCATCTGGCACAGGACTCCATAGCAGTCCCCAAATAGGCACCTGAATGCCCACTGTGCCAGCCATGCTGTGAAAGCCCAAGGTGTATTCTCAGCTCCAGAACCAGGGCCCAGCGCCTGCCTCAGGCTGCTCAGGGCTGAAGTGAGCGGGGACACCCAAGGTCTTCATAAGACCAAGGCTCTCTCGTCCTCCTGTTAGAGAGCGAGACGCAGACCCAGCAGCACCGCACGCCCCCTCCTTCCCTCCGGCAGCTCGGCAACCTTCCAAGTCAGGGGCCCTTCCCTGATGACACTCCAAGCACAAAGCACTGGACTTTCACACACTGAGGCTGCATATATTATTCTGTGTAGATGCCCACCTAGGCGGCTGGGAGAAAGGGTGGTAGAGGGGCCCTCATGTTGCCCTGTGGTATGCATGCTCTGGTTCATACGACTGCAAGCCATTTACGAGAAACTCAAGCTGAAACACTACTGTTTTCAACTTTTTGTGGGTAGAGGATTTACAATGTATGCTCCCAAACAAGCTAGCCACAGAGCACACTGACTACTTCCCCTCTTAAGTCGCCCTGAGGGCCTCCGCATCAGTCCTAGAATTGGAAGATTGGTGGAGAAGAACTGGGATGTTGAGGGGGTACTGGATACTTGCTGGACACCAGCCTCCCCTCACCTAAGCTTACAGACAGCCCAGATCCCGCCTGACCAAATCAGACATTGTAATGCACATGGTTCTCGACAGCAGGACTTACAGATGCAAAAGTCTAAGGCAAATAATTGTCTCAACTCCTTGGTGTCTCAAGGAACTAAAATGCTGCCTAGCACAGGTGCACCATCAACCTTATCACTAAATAAGCCTCTATATTTTATTCATCTTTGATTGTGGAAATGATGTGATAAACACAGTGGACTAAACACCTTTGAGATCTCTTCACGGGATCCTACCTGGTGCACCCCCAGATCTGCCAACACACAGAAGGCATCATAAACATGTGCAGGACAGAGTCCAGACAAAATTGTCTCTCAGCCTCAAAGTGGCCTGGCAGTCACAGGAACGGCCACATAGGGTTTGGCCTGTATGAGGAGTCAAGCTTTCAGCTTGAGGTGCCCACTGCACCCGCAAAACCAAGTTCTGCCTAACAAAGAAGAATAAGCCAGCCTACTCTCCCTAAAGAAAGATTCTCACTGGGGCGTGCAAACCTGGGGGGATAACTCGTCCCTCCTCAGGCCCGGTCCCAAGGTACAAGACCACTTGCACCAGCAGTGTGGGTCAGCAAGAGAGCAGACGCTAGAAGAGGGCAGGCCAGAAGACAAGGACCCCCTGAAGATCAAGAGAGAGGCCCTCTAGGTCCACGTAGCAGTTACGTCAGACTGGAATACTTCCCATTTACAGGAGACTAGAAAACCCCTGCCTCGCCCTCACTTGGGGCTGATGCCGTTTTAGGCCTCAGCTTGTCTGCACCCAGGTGCTGATTAAAACAGCATGTTGCTCCATACCGCCTCAAGTGGTTTGTTGGCGCTCTCAGGGTTTGAACGAATAATAGAGCCTTGTACCTAATATCTCAGGTGGTAATCCAAGAGCGATATCTGCTTGACACCCCTCCTCCTTCACCCTCCATATCCAAGTGATCACCGAGGATACAAGCCGGCCAGGCAAGGTAGCTCATGCCTGTAAGCCCAGTACGTTAGGAGGAGGAGGCGTGTGGATCACCTGAGGTCAGGAGTTCGAGACTGGTCTGGCCAACATTGGAAAACCCTGTCTCTACTAGAAATTCAAAAATTAGCCAGGCATGGTGGCAGACACCTGTAATCCCAGCTACTCAGGAGGCTGATGAAGAAGAATCACTTGAACCTGGGAGGCGTAAGAAGCAGTGAGCCGAGATCACTCCATTTCACTCCAGCCTGGGCAACAGAGCAAGACTCGGTCTCAAAGAAAAGAAAAGAAAAAAGAAGAATTAATATAGTTTTGTCACCAGAAAAGAGGTCTTGTCCCAGACCCCAACAACGGTTTCTGGATCTCACATGAAATGGCATTTATGGCAAGTCGCACAGTCTAGTGACGTTAAGAGAGTTTATTAGCCCCTACTCAGTTACAGAGCAGGGAGTCCTCAGAAAGCAAGAGGAGGAACGCACTGTTTTAAATGAAAAAAATTTTTTTTGAGATAGAGTTTTACCCTTGTCACAATGACATGATCTTGACTCACTACAACCTTTGCTTCCTGGGTTTAAGGATTCTCCTGCCTCAACCTCGCAAGTAGCTGGGATTACACGTGTGCACCACCACGCCTGGATAATTTTTTTTTATTTCTTTTCCATTTTAATTTACTTTATTTAAAAATTTATTTAATTTTTTTGTTTTATTCAGTCCCCGTGGAGACTGCCAAAAATTGCTGATGCCAACTATATTTCCAATCGTCATGGCGCGGTATTGGGAAAAGTTTTCAATTAGCAACAATCGCGCCTCAGATAAACCTCATTGACTGCAATACTGCCACTGTGCAAAGCTATTTTTTGGTATTTTTAGTAGAGACTGGGTTTCACCATGTTGGCCATGCTCGTCTCCAACTCCTGGTCTCAAGTGATCCGCCCTCCTCGGCCTCCCAAAGCGCTGGTATTACAGGAGTGAGCCACTGCACCGGGCCTTAATGTTTGTTTATTTAGGTTATTAAGAATAGTGTTGTCTCTTATAAAGGCCTGTGATCAGTTTGTGTCAGGCTATTAGTATTGTTACTTTTCTATGTTACTATTGATTTTAAAAATAATTTATGAGAGTACTATTATTTTTAAAGTAAAACTTATTTTTAAATTAAGAATACTTTTTGCTTAAAGTACTGGTATATTTTTATAAAGTTTGGGTCTTTAGTTATTAACTTGTTCCTGCAACCATAAATATTTTATAACCAAATGTGCTCAACCTCTAAATATATAATCCAACAAATTTAACGTGTGTGTGTGTTGGTCGGGGGGGAGGGGTGTGTGTGTGTGTGAGACAGGGTCTCACTCTGTCTCCCAGGCTTGAGTGCAGTGGTGCGACCATGGCTGGCTCACTGTGGCCTCAAACTCCTGGGCTCAAGCGATCCTCCTGCCTCCGCCTCCTGGGTAGCTGGGACCACAGGCACGCGCCACCACACCAGCTAATTTTTATATTTTTTGCAGACATGGGGGTCTCACTATTTTCCCAGGCTGGTCTTGAACTCCTGATCTCAAGTGATCCTCCCACCTTGGCCTGCCAGAGTGCTGGGATTACACTTGTGAGCCCTGCACCCTGCCCAGATTTAACTTTTTCTAAAGCTTTTATTTAAATTAAAGTCACTGTGGTTAAGATGCCTCTGACAGTTTTGCGTTTTAAGTGTGAAGACTATGTTGAGTGAATTTTTCCGTAACTTGAAAAATGTGCATTCATGTTTATTTCATTCTATGGTTTCCGATCAATTGTCCCTTCTTCCTTTTTAGAAAAACCTGGGCTAGTGGGCTCCGTGTCAGTTTGCATTTCCAGAACGACGGTGCTGAACACTGCGCTCCGACTTTAAGTGTTTCAGCGGGACGGCCACCAGAGGGCGCGCGTCCTCCACCAGCGCTGAGAGCGCGCGGGCCCTGCAGTGCCCCGGCCACCAGCAGAGGGCGCGCTGGAGCAAGGCGGCATAACTGCCTAAGGGCCAAGCTCCTCTAACAATCAGAAGCCTGGCTTTACATGGGCTTACAACTCCAGATATGACACGTGAAAGGTTCTTGGGTTTACAGTTTTAGAAATTATATGTGAAAGGCTCTTGGTCCATGGATTAGGCGTGGGGTGGGGGTTTGAACTTGTTTAAATTAAAACAACGCCTTCTGGAAAGATTCCCCCACACCTTGCCTGCCATCTATAGGAAGGTGGCTGTGGTGGCGCCCGGTTGGCCAGCCTTTACTTCTATTGAAATGCAGTGTGGAAGTCAAGGGGTAAGTCATCTTAGATACTTGGGTCTCCTTCCTCACCAGGTCATCTCCTCCCTGCACACGGCCACTCTCCCACGTGGGCTACTCTCCAGTCTCACTCACAATCACTCTGAGCAACTGTGGAAAGGACAGCTATGGAGCCTCTCCCTTGTTCAAGTCACTCTGCTGATAGACCTGCATAAGTCGTCTCCCTGAACCCTGGACCGCCCTGGGAAGAATACCTCTGCCTCTGTATTTCAGACAAAGACTATAAGGCGGTCCGGCACGTTGGCTCATACCTATAATCTCAGCACTCTGGGAGACTGAGGCAGGTGGATCATGAGGTCAGGAGTTCAAGACCAGCCTGGCCAAGATGGTGTAACCCTGTTTCTACTAAAAACACAAAAATTAGCTGGGCGTGGTGGCGGGCACCTAGAATCCCAGCTATTTGGGAGGCTGAGACAGGGAACTGTTTGAACCCGGTATCAGGCCTCCATATGGAAGCCTGGAGCCTGAAAGTCTGAAGTCCTGCTTGCCTTCTGATGGTCTCCCACCCGCCCCCCGCCTGCATTCACCATTGTCCCTGATCACCCAGCGGAGCTTCCCTGGTCAAGCCCCTCACCCAACCCTGCCATCTTAACTGTTCTTATAATAATGTGAATACCTCTCACCCATCCTGTCATCTTAACTGCTCTTCTGCTTCACCCGCAGCCGCAGCCGCCATTGTAACTAAAAGTATGGTAATATATACTCCTTGCCTCTACCCCCACCACTGTAACTGATCTTACTTTCTGTAACTTTCCACTGCCCACCCCAAACCTATAAAACCAACTCCTATCCCACTGCCGTTTGCTAATGCCCTTTTTAGCCTTAGCCGACCTGCATCCAGGTAAATAAACAGCCATGCTGCTCACACAAAGCCTGTTTGGGGGGCCTCTTCATTCAAAGTGTGCATTTTCAACACCCAGGAGGTGGAAGTTGCAGTGAGCCGAGATTCCATCTCAAAAATAAAAATAAAAATAAAAAACAAAGACTATGAGGCTAGGAGAGGCTGTGACCAAGCACATGACCCAAGCCCTGTTGGCAGTAGCTGAGTTGGAACTAAGTTCTCACGTTCACACGGTGCGACGAGGGCCTCCTGATTACAAGATCCAAAGTGTCACTGGCACTTCCATTAACATGTACATATATTTGTCTGGAATCTATGAGTGAGCATTTTCATGCATCAAATTTTGCCAGGAGTCTCTCATATTATCTTTTATTGTAGTCACAAAATTCTGTGTTGTTCAGTATAAATACTTGTGTTTTCATAGTTGAAAGTTGGGAATGCAAGTGATTTTCCATACAGCCAGCAGCTAAAATATTCCAAATGTGGTTTTCACCATGCGCTGGGATTTACTCGGGTCAGCTGGCAAAATATGAGGGAAATATTAGGGAAAGCTAGAAGATTATAGTCTCTAACCCAAAAATATATAAAATTAGCCATATAAATTTGTAAAAGTCCAGTTTCTTTGTGATATAACAGTATAAAACATATTCTTTTTCATCAAAATTTGAAATAAGTTGGGGACCTCTGCAGCTCAGCCACTGGCTGATGCACTGTCGCAAAGTTGCACTCCAACCTTCTCACTTCTGTGTCCTAATTTCTTCCCAGGTACTCCTGCTGAGTTTGAGCCTCAATAAGGAACTCAAGGAAGTGCCAATTAAAACACTGAAGTACCTTTGCCTGCCTGGTTTGCAGGAGTAAAAGGACTGATAAAGTTCACTGTTGGTGAAAGCTACAGGCACTCTCTTGCTAACCCTAAACCCTGACTGACCCTGACCTCATGCCACTCCTTCCCACAATCCCTCAGGTATGTCCCGTTTCTGCTAAATTTTATCCTCCCAGCTTCTAACCCTTAATACACTCTAAATATAAAACCAACCTATAGGCAATCCCATCCCCAATTTAATGCTAAATTACAAGAGGAAATAAAATCACAAGAACATAAAGGCATAGATCAATGTCTAGCATAATTATATGATTAATAATGCTCAACAAAATCATCATAATTTGATACTAAGACATATTTGAAGCATTACAGACCATAATTACTACATCATTTTCTCAGAAAATCAAGCTGGTTTTGTATACTAAAGCCATCCCTGCAAATAAACATCAACTAAGCAGAATGAAGAAACCCAGATACTCATCTCCATAGATACAGGAAGTACTTTCCACAAAGTCAACACCATTTCATCATATAAACAACCAACAAACTAGGAATAGGAATTTTTGTCAACACAGCAATCAGCCTCTATGCCAAACCCATAACTAGAACTATCTCTATTATTAGGGCCATATATGACAAAAACACAGCTAACATCATAAACAATAGGGAAAAGTTAAAAAGCTCTTCCTCTAAGATCTGGAACAAGTGTGGCTACTTCTATCACTTTTGTTCATCATAGTACTGGAAGAGCAATTAGACAGGAGAATGCAATAAAAGGCACCCAAATTGGAAGAAAGGAAGTCAAATTGTCTCTGTTTGCAGGTGAAATGATCACATACATATAGAGAGAAAACCCTAAACATTCTACAAAAAAACCCTACTAGAAATAATAAATTTACTAAAGTTGAAAGACACAATATTAATATACAAAAATGAGTGGCACACCCATGTGCCAAAAGTGAAACACCTAAGAAAGAAATCAAGAAAGCTACTTCATTATAGTAGCTACTACCTCCACCAAAAAATGATACCTAGAGATGAACTTAACCAAAAAGGTGAAAGATCCCACAATGAAAACCATGAAACATAGATAAAAGCTATTAAAGCAGACACATGTAAATGGAAAGATATCCTATGTCTAAGCACTAGAAGAATATTGTTAAAATATCTATGTCACCCAGTGGGATCTACAGAATGAGCCCAATCCCATTAAATTATGAAAGACACTCTTCATAGAAATAGAAGGAAAAAAAAAGCCTAAAATTTACATAGATATGCAGAATACCTCAGACAAAAGAATTTTGCATAAAAAGAAAAAAGCTAGAAGCATCACACTACCTAATTTCAAAATATACTACAAACCTATAGTAACCAAAACAGTATGGAACTGGCACAAAAAAAAAGGGTAAGGGAGAGACAGAGATAGATAGAGATAGAAGAATGACAGGCAGACATAGACAAATGAAACAGAACAGAGAACTCAGAAATAAATTCAGGCATTTACTGCCTACTCATTTTTAACAAAGGCACCAAGAAGACACTTTTGGGAAGGACAGTCTCTTCAATAAACTGTGCTAGGAAAACACAACACCCACATGTACAAGAAGAAATCTAGACCCATTATCTTACCATGTACAAAAATCTACTCAAAATAAAGATTTAAATGTAGGACCTGAAACTATGAATCTACTAGAGAAGAAAAAATAGGATAAATGCTTCATGAAATTGGTTAGGACAAGGGATTTTCAAATAGGCATCAAGAGCACAAGCAACAAGAGCAAAACTAGACAAATGCAATTACATTAAATGTAAAAGCTTCTGCAAAGTAGAGGAAGCAATCAGTAGCGTGAAGAAGCAACCCAGAAAATGGAAGAAAGTATTT